CATAGATGGGCCAGAAGAGAAAGAGGAATGACAGTGTAATAGTTTTCGGCAGAACATTGGTTGAGGGATTGACTTCACTTGCTTTTTTGACGAGTTCGTAGCTTGGTGCGGAGAATACCAACACTAACTGACGATGCCGTCGAAGCGTATGAGAATATACCAAGTCCACGGTCTGAGGCTGGGAATGACAATAACTATTATAACAGAGGACTTCAGATAGGCTGCATTTAACTAAGTCGACAGGACAACAAGACCAAGTTGCGGAATCGAGGTCAGCCCCACTTTATTAAGCTCTTGTATATATTCCACATCTCCAAGTTAAAAAAAACAATGGGCAAGGCACTTGCTAAGCCTTACAATAATGTAGAATCTAAATGTGATAGCGATAATTTTTCATTGCTGAATATTGGTATAAAACCTGTGTGCGACGAATGACTTAAGGAAACTATGAATAATAGAGGATAACAGCTGGCTCGCAGATGGGTTTGATCAAAGATATGGCCTGTAAAGGCTTGATAAGTGGTAAACTAAATTGCAGCATCAAGATAGTTTTACATCGAGGTTGAGAATCCAGACTTTGAGGGCCTGCTCAATGAAACTGGAGAATATGTGCTATCAAAGGCTCGGGGCAGTGTATAACATAAAGCCTCAAGTAGCACGGATATGGTGGTAACGATCGAGTGAAATCACTGAACCAGGGAGATAAGAAACGAAACCTACAGGGAAAGAGAAAAACTCTGATAGGACCTAGATGAGAAAAATTTCGAAGGAAAGCGGCAACTCGGATCAACACTCCCAGCACAGTGGAGCATGATGAAGAAACCAGCTGGGAGTTTGAATAGGTGAAACTAAACCAACTTAAAAGGGCACACCTGGAGTAAGTTTAGATAAACAAATAAGAAATTGTTATCTTGAAACAGTGTTATGAGGATATAGGATAGGTGAATACACCAGGACAAGAGAGGTACCACAACTGTTCAGCAGATAATTGATTAAAGGATCGACTTCATTTGTCTATATGACTAGTCGTAGTGTGGTGCTAAGAATGGTAAGGCTGGCTGACGATGCCGGTGAAGCGTCTGGGAATGAACCAAGTTCTCGGTATGGCTCTAGGAATCATCATGCATTCTATGGACTCCGGACAATAAGTGTTCCTGAAAATACTAAAAAATTGTGAAAACGAGGTCAAACCACTTCGGTACAGCGAAAGGAGACCGCAAAAATATTAAAGCCTATACCATCTTGGTCTCCAAACTATTAAAAATTTGCTATCAACAACATCAATCAAGAAGTTGGAACGAGTAAAAATTATTTGACGAAAAATAACAAATTATATACATATATGTAAAGATACGTAAGTATTAAAAATTAATTAAATATTGTGACTAAATAAGTTTCCAGTATATATCTAAGCTTCATCTACTTACCCAGTATCCGGATCGATAGGACAGATGTCATGTATCAGATAAAATGGAGTGAAACGTAGAGAAGCCGCTGAGATCGAGATTGTGCCCAACATGGCAGCCTCGTTTTGACCTATACATAGCTCACGAAGGTGGCGAGCTTCGAAGCCAACATCGAGGAATAGAACATGTCGCAGCAGGTTTGTGAAATCGAAAGTAGCGAGGAGGCGAGCAAAAGCCTCACCTGAAGTCGGTTTGGAGATTCCTGAGCCTTGGGCATCAGACTCGACTGCAACTGTACCAGATGTGCCCGAAATCATTGCCAAGGCTCCAGACTGGCCTGATTCGTTGGAATCGTCAGGTGGAGAGAAAGAAGCTGCTACAGCATGAACCAACTGGGGTAATATTGACTTAAAGAAACGCAAAAAGGCCATGCGAATGGAGCGGAGAGTAGTGATATGCTGCTTGAAGACCTCCGAGTTGCCAAATGGGCCATGGACGATGTCTGTTAAAGGTAGAAGTGAATTTATATTAGCGTCCGTTTCGAGTCCCGGAACCCGAACTTAAAGTAATGATAAATTTTTAAGCTAATTTTCAAACTATGGAAGGGGATTGATAAAGTAAAAGCAAAAAAACGAAACATCATTGAGGTTTAGTTCGTGTAGTTATGCGATATGTTCACCCAGTTTGGTCTAATGTTATAAATAAATGAAAGTTGAATTTTTCCACAGTGATATGAGCAGGCCTTACGTTTTCAATGAATTTCACACAGCCTTGCAAACCAAAGGATATTCTAATTCAGAGTTGACTACAGTTTCGACGTCGTCTGGGTCTTATCAAACAAAATAGGGTGAACACATCTGATATATCTGATTAACTGGTAGTTTCGAAAGCCTACTTACAAAGAAAAAACTAGTGTAGTTCGTAGGTAGACAGATAAAGATATTTTATAGTCGTTCATTACTTATTTATTATCGACATAAAAATATGGATGCATTAAGGAAGCACATAAGGAGAAAAAACGAGTGACAACTTCTGGTCTAATATAAAATGGCGGTACAGGCAATAATAATTCGTTGGACAAGGGAAATCCAAACATTCTCTGAGTCACCTAACCCTAATTATTGGCAAATCTTCATTTATTTCTTTTTTTCATTATCTCCTTATTCAGACTAGTTTACGAAACCTAATCGCCATATCTGAATCCAAATTAGCAGTAAACGCTTCCTTAAGGAAATCGTCTGGGAATGAGCTTCCTCTGAAATGAATTAGCAAAAAAGAGTTCGAGTGATTATGCTGACAAATTTTATAAATCATATTTATGAAAAAATTAAATTCACGATGGAAGTAGAGGAAGGTGAACGATTATGTTCCTATATGTTGAAGTGATTCGCTCTAATTGGACGCTAAAAAAGAAATTGTTCAGAAAGAAGTCTTATGCCGGGAGTATACTCAATTTCCAGTCCCATCACAATTACAGGCTAAAGAATGGAATAATGAGCATAATCACACGAAGCGCACGTTTAACGGATGTGGAATTCTGGGACGAGGAGATGAACTAATCGACTAGGATATGCCTCGACAACGGCTACACAGGCGAAGTAATACAAAGAAACATACTGGCCGTGAAAGGCTAATGGCAGAACTGGGACTATGAAAGAACAGTAAGAACGGAGGATTCACAAAATCGGACATGCCTATCTTCTTACGAACTAATGCGAAAACTACGGCCAATATTAAAGAAATGGAATGTTCGGGTGCTCATAAAAGAAAAAACAACACTTTTCATAAGTCTACCGACGCAACATGAAAGAGTAGACAAATTGGATTGTTCAGGAGTTTATTGTATATCATGCGGCGCCTGCAAACGAATATATATTGGCGAAGCAGGGAGAAAAATTAGCATACAAATCAAGGAGCATCGAAAGATCAGAATTAGCGGAACACATCGCACACACGGGACATGAAATAAATAGGAAGGCAACAGAAATAAGGGCCTCATACGATGAAAACACAAGCAAGCGAAGGATTAGGGAGGCCATGATATCGTTAGGGAGAAAAATCTAATGAACAGGAGATTGGAGGAAGGTAGAGTTAGCGATAAGTTTGCCTACTGCTTAAGTAAATTCGGAGAAAACAAGAATAGAGCAAGACCAGCAAAGAGGAGACGCCTAGATCAGGGATCTATAGCTAACCGAAGGGAAGGGGATCACGAGAAAAGAGGAGTGGTATGGATTTTCGGCAACCAAGCGAAGAAATTGTCAGTGAGTGATGTCTATTCGAATAAACCAGTACAACTTTGTGGGCCTGGCAGTCAAGGA